CCACAATTTCAAAACATCATGTTGTATACCATAAATAAATACAATTTTTATTTGTCAAAAAATAAGAAAAAATAACTTAATTTATATGCATCATTTTTTTCAAATGGCTACTGGATTGTTAGAACATTAGTACTTATTAAGTTGTTTGGATCTAACTATCTAATCAACAGATCTACTAAATATTCTGTTTCACGTAAGGGTGCCACAGAAAACTTATGAGATGTTAAGGTACCATGAACTGAGAAAGTTAAGGGACCTCCACACTACACAATTCCTTTTTTTCTTCCATAATGAGAGTCTCAAGAAGGAAGGGACAAGGAAGAGGATTACAAGGAGCACATACCCAATGGAATCAGAGCTGGTCTCAGCCACGTGTAAACCAACAATCAACACAGAGTGACATTTGTCACAATTACGTTTAAAGAAGTTACTTTCAAGATTCAAACTTTAACCTGAATGTTTACAGTATAGAAATAATATAATTTTTTGAATATATACGAATATATAAAATAAATCTAGACTCTTTCATCTTCAGCCTGGAGGATGAATGGTGCAATTTGGAAAAGGTTAAAAGAGATGTTAAATCTATGAGTGAAGGGTGAAAAGACAGATACTAGAGGGAAGCTTACTGATTTAATTGGGCTGGATCAATTCTAGTAAGAAATTCCTAGAAAAATCCAATTGCAGGTCAAGGCTGAAGCCTGCCATGCTAAGGCAAGTCACAGATAAGGCTGGTGCTCTCAGGCACCATAGAGAGATATGTAGATTCAAAACTTTCAAGCTTGAGAATGAAGAAAAACGTAGTCGGAGGAGAGTTGGGTCAAAAATCAGGAAGGGCCCCTCTTGGGCCCTTGAATAAAACTGAATAAAAGCACAAAGATAAATGGGCATCTTTAGTTCACAACCTGTTTTACTTATGGCCAGAAAGACCCTTTGGCCCACCCAATAAAATGAATGAACTCATCCCAAGGACTCAAGAACACAAAGATAGGGCATCAGCTAAAGACACAGAGAAAGGCAGCTCTGTTACCACGAACTGAAGTGGGGAAATTACACATCTAAAGACATCAAGCTAAAGGATAATATTCTGTGGGGAATTTGGATGCTGATATGGTTTGTCTGTGTCCCCGCCAAATCTCATCTTGAATTTTAACTCCCACAATTCCCACCTGTCGTGGGAGGAACCCAGTGGGAGGTGACTGAATTATGGGGGCAGGTCTTTCCTGGGATGTTTCTTGTAATAGCAAATGAGTCTCATGAGATCTGATTATTTTTAAAATGGGAGTTTTTCTGCACAAGCTCTCTCTGCCTGTTGCCATCCATGTAAGAGGTGACTTGCTCCTCCTTGCCTTCCGCCATAATTGTGAATCTTCCCCCAGCCAGGTGGAACTGTAAATCCATTTTAAACCTTTTTTGTAAATTGCCCAGTCTTGGGTATGTCTTTATCAGCAGCATGAAAAGGAACTAATACAGTTGCCCAGACTCACTTCCTTAATGTATCCAGATAGTTTGACCCCTCAACTTGAAACCCCAGGCCTAGCGAATAAACCTGGATACCTGCAGACTCACTGAATGGAAAGGACAGAGGGTCCTTGAGCAGCAGAAATACAGAGCCTCACAGGATGACTTGTTCCAGAGAGAAGTAGGGAGGCAACAGCTGATGACATCAAGAACTGTGCCTCGCCCAGGTCCTCTCACTGGGCTCCGCCACCCAGGCCCAGGCTCCTTCTGCTTGGGAGTTGGCACCCGCACAAGTGTAGGCAGGGCCAAAGCAAGGAGATTCCTCAATCAATAAGGACTGCTGCAGTTAAACTCACATCTGCTTCCCCTCTCTCTTCCTGCTCTTTCTGCTTCTGCAGATGCCCTGGATGCTGAATGCATCATATACTGCCTTCCATGATTGAGCTTTCACGATTTCATCTTCTTGGCCTTTATCTACTTCCCTGATCCCTGGCCCCTTGCTGACTCTGGCCAGGCTTCCCCCTCTGGTTCTAACTCTTGATCATTCTATAAACTATGAGAATTTCTTGACCTTTAAAACTTGCTTCTGTTCCCTCAATCCCAGTTCCTCACTCTCTGCCCAGCTTCCAGAATAATGTACTCATACCTGAAGACAGAGTGGCAAAAGAGGGGGTGGTATGGTGGGAGGCTCTAAGAAAAAGAACAGGATATGGTCCTGAAGGCTTAATCTCCAGAGGAAGAAGCAGTCTGCAGATCGTCCTCCCCACCAGCTCTTCACAAAGCCAAATGTGGTAAGGGATAAATCAATGGCAGTTTAAACTCCCTCTAAGAGACAGAAAAAAGATCTGGCAGGGCCAGCCAACATGGATAACTCTGGGGAAAAAGATTTGCCAAATATCCAATTTAAAGAACTTGGAGTTTCTGAGAAAATTCAAACAAAACTTTTCTCCTTTCAAAAAATCCTCTTTACAGACTAAGAGAGGAAACAAATCATGTTGAAGAGTAGTTGTTACATATAGATTATAGCTACCCTAAAATTGTTGACTGAACCTTCCTGGGAAGCCCATAAATATTTGGTGGGTCCTATAAAAAATAAACTAAGGATACTGTAATTGGCTCAGAACTTAACTTGTACAGCTTATCCAGAGACTGGCAAGACTGGAGGTTTGTTGCGGCTGGATTTCTAATAGCTAGGGACAGATACCAGTCAGTGGCAGGTTATTGTACATTTCATGTGTCATGTCTGAGAACAGGGACTACCAGGCATAAGAAAACCATTATAAGATGCATTTTCCCAGAGTTGAGATAAGCAAAGGAAGACTTTCTCCTAAATTATCAGAGACCCCATAGACTTTCAAGAGACTAAAGGAACCTCAGTGATCATCCATTTCAGCACTTTCACTTTACAGTGAAGAAACTCAGGCCCAGAGAGGTACAGGGGCCTGCCTAGAATCAGAAAGGAAACCAGTGCATAATGGCTGACAGCAGCATACAGGAATCCCCTCTCCAGGCTGTGGACATACCCCTTTGCACCACACTACAGACACAGAACTGCACAAGGCAGCCAGACGACTTGAGGTTTCCACTGACATCCAAAGAAGGACAGACTTCCACTGATCAAATTTTGGGGGATTCCTCTCCTCCCGCAAAACAAAAAAATTTCCTTTCAAAAGCTGAGCAATGCCTGTAAAATGCCCCCTCAACTATAGCATATGCAAGACCTGCAAGGCAAGGGGCTGGCAAAAAGTTAAACAACCCTGAAAGGAAGGTTGAAGAACATAGGGTTAAAAGTCCTGACACTTGAAGAGATAAATTGCCTCCTTTGTTCTTAATCTGCACAAAGGCTCTCCAGGAATTCAGAAGGCTCTCACCATTCAACCTGACATATAGGAAGGTCACATTAAATCCAACAGCCCAGAAATGGAAAAGTCCCGGAGAACAAGGCTTCGGTACTGAGGGTCCTGGAAGGAGTGAACAAGGTGGGTACCTGGGTGCAGAATCAATGCACAGGGATGGAAAAGACTTGGCATGGGGAAAAATGGCACCCGAGTGACTGAAAGAGATGGAAAGTGATTGCCTTCATCCTCTGTACTAAAGAGATTTAGGATGGGATTTTATAGTGCCACCTCTATAGTCAGATCCCATCAAATCTGGAGTTCTATGGCTCTAGGGCCTCCAGGAAACCTAAAGTGGCACGTGATCGTGATCACACACTCAGCCCATAAGTCTGTCAAAGAGGACCTCCACTGGAGAGCTGCCTTGGTCTTTCTCATAGGAAAACCCAAAATCTAAGGGGCGAAATCACAAACAGGCCTATTCAATGCCCAGAATCATGCTAGATAGAGTAATTAAGGTGGTCTGAAAATATGTCTCAGAGAATGACTTCTATGCATAACACGTTGAATAAATACTTCAAAACAAACTAGATAGAATAGAGTGAATAGCTGTAAGAGCTTAGAAACTAGGCCAGGGTAAAGAGAAGAAATTAGATGACCTCCTTTTGGATTCAAGAGATGTGTTTGGTGGCATCAGGAGCGGGGAAGAGGAAACATTCTCGCTAACAGTTGGCAGACTTCTATAAACCCTGCACCCCTCCAGCAGTCAGTTGCCCTGGCTCAAAAACCAGACATTACAATGAGATTCTATGGGAATAACAGAAAATTAAATTGTATAACCAAGTCCTATGCATGCCCTCTGCTAAAAGTGAGGCATTACAAAATCTGTTGGCAAATGCTAAAAATCATTTCTGTTATCGATTTATGTAAAAGCTTTTGGCAAATGGAATCCAAACCCCCTTCCCCCAAAAGTAATTGTTACACCAGATACAGTAAAAGTTTAGCATTTTACCCTCTGAGATGAAGAATTCACCCACTTTCTTCTTAAAGTTCAAGGGTCCTGATGTTTAATGGCTAACTGAGTAAGCTATTTGCTATAAACTCCACTAATTAAAAAGCTGTATTCAGCTAGATTATAGATGATAAACTCCTAGAGATCCTTTGGTTGGAACTACTGATAATCACAACCCACAAAGTTAAACTTAAATTTAATAGCTGTTAAACAGGACTTCCAGAAATCCAGGTTTCAGAAAAAGAATATATAACCATTCTCAGGAAGACTGTATCATACAGCTCACAAAGCTCCTACCGCCAAGATACAAATTAGCTCATCAGTGGACAATATAGTCTAGACTACCCTGTTGTACAGGTCAGTTGGCCAAAGTTTCCAACTTAGGAAAGACAGTTTGAAGGTCCCTGGTCTGGTGTCTGGAGTCAGGCAAAATGTGGTAAGGCTGGCTAACTAAGCACCATGAAGATAGGGGCTACCTGTTAGGGAAAGGCCTTACAGGTACATTCCGAGGTCTGCCATAGCTTCAGGGAAGTGTCAGGACTGGAACTGAAGGAAAAACTACCCCAGAGTTCTGTGAAGTTTGCATAGCAGTCAAGTAGGGAAGGAGGATATTTAGCATGTTCTCCATCTGCCTCCAGAGGCTTCTGCAACATTTCATTTTATTTCATTTTATTTTATTTTATTTTATTTTATTATTTTTATTTTTATTTTTAAGTAATGGGGTCTTGCTATGTTGCCCATGTTGGTCTTGAACTCCTGGGTTCAAGTGATCCTCCCACCTTGGCCTCCCAAAGTACTGGGATTATAGGTGGGAGCCACAACACACGGCCTCTGCAGCCTTTTAAACAAAGCAGCAAAAGGAAGATATAGAGGAGGACGTGGTACTGCAGCTGATGCTAAAAAGACCCAAGCCTCTCATATGCAGCCATCTCTACCCCGCTTAGGGTTTTCCTGTTGTCTAGAAACAGTCACAAAGCATAATGGGAAGGTTAGCTTAAGTATCCAGATGCAGGCTCTGTGGCTTATCTAGAACAATTCTTGACCCAAGCCTGACTTTACCCCTATATCTGAGCCTTGCATTTGGCTAGAGGCCTGGGGATTTCCCCATTTTGCACATGGCAGACACTGTTCCTGGGAAGGGAAAAAATTAATTTGACACAAGCAATCAATCCCACTGGAATGTTTATGCACAACGAGCCAAGCGGAAATGGATCTTAAAGGGAGCACTTCTGCTAGGTGACGGGAATTTTAATGCTGAAAAATGACATTGTGTCAAGAATCCAACATGACCAAAGGAGCACACACATTCATATCCAAAGCATGAGCAACATCATGTGCATGCACACAGCACATATATGCACACGTAAGCACGCAGACTTGCTCCACCTGTGGGAAAAGTTGTCCGAATATATAATTGTCCAACCATCAGTCACTCTGGGTTTTTTTTTTTAATGTTTTGTATTCAAAATATGTAAAGAGTTTGAAGAATGGAGCAGTGCTAAACCCTTTTACAGTAGAAAGCTATAGTAGCATGTGAAGTGTTCCTATACTCCTACGTGATTCCTATGATGTCAGGCTTGGTGAAAGCATCATCAGTCTTCACCCACAACCTAAGCCAAAACCTGGAGATCATCTGAGACTTCACAAAGTCTTATCAAGGACTTCACACAACTAAGCTAGAAACCTGGAGATCATCTGAGACTTCACCCACAACCTAAGCTGACTGAGATATCTGGACTTCACCACTAGCACCTAAGCTAAAATAGGTGTCTGAGACTTCACACAACCTAAGCCAAAACCTGAGTTGTCTAAGATCTACCCTCTCAGCCGAGATCATCTGAGACTTCACCCACAACCTAAGCCAAAACCTGGAGATTGTCTGAGACTTCACCCACAACCTAAGCCAAAACCTGGAGGTTGTCTGAGACTTCACCTCTCCTTCAATCCCAACATCAACTAGACATTAAATCCTGCAGATACCCCTACCATTAAATTGCTTGTATCATGAACTATATTTCAGTAGTTTCCTAAGTAGAATTTCTATCTCCAATTTTGTCCTTCCAATGCCATATTATCCCTTCCAAATTAGATTTTTTTATTCCATCACTTCAATTTTTAAAAGTCTTTTATAACTCTCTAGTGCTTACAAGATAAAACCAAATCCAGAGTCGGGCATATGCTTGGAGTCCCAGTTACTCAGGAGGCTGAGGTGCAAGGATCACTTGAGCCCAGGAGGTCAAGGTTACAGTGAGCTATGATTGTGCCACTGCACTCCAGCCTGTGTGACCCAGCAAGACCCCATATCTTTAAAAATAGAATCCAAATCCTAGTATATAAAATCCAACTCTTGAGAAAATCCAAGACCTCATATGTCTCTCTAGTCCCTGTCTCCCTACAATCCTCTAATTCTCCATGATGTTTACACAACTCTCTCCCTTTGCTCACCTTTCTTCCTCTGCTAGGAATGCCTCTCCCCACTTGTCACTATGGATAATGAATCCCTCTTCCAAATGTCATTCAATCATTTCCTACTCTACGACAACCACCATATCCACCAACATAGACTTCATTCCTCGTTTATGTCTGTGCTATCAACTACTATAGTCGTATCATATAACTGGAATGCTTTAGTGTACGTTTTAGAAATCAAGTATGTTTCCCTCTACCAAAATGTAAATTCTCTAAAGCTCTAGAAAATGTGGAATAAAGGAGAGTTCTGCGTGGAAGGAAATGTAAGAAAGCCAAGATGGCAGTTTACCCTATTTCTCCTTTTGAGATGCTGGAGTTGGGCTGGGTTTGCATATACCCTAAGAAAAGAAGATTCTGGACTGCTTTTTACCATCTTCTGTATCTGATGCAAAAGAAGAAAAGTTCAAGGACATGGGCTGACAGGAAGATGAATAAGTTAGTCCTCTCTGTATCTTGGAAGAGCCAGAAGAAAGGTGGTCCCTGATGAAGGCATTATCTAGGATGTTCAGGCACACAGACTTGGAATCCAAAAGAAAAGGCTGAGGAAGTGTAGGCTTTTTAATGCAGGCCCAGAAACCCCAGAAACATGGTTCTTTGAAAAGATTCTAAGAACCAAAATAGTGTGAAGCCACTAATTTGCTGACTATCAGGATGATTCTCCCCAAGGGGGTTAGTGCCCCTATTCACCATATAAGGATGCTGGATCACCTCTGAGTTCCGGCATCAGGAGGACTGACCAAGTAGTCTTGAGCTGCAGAAATGAAAGACCTCAAAAGGGTAAAGTCTCCAGAGAATCAGGCATAAAGGTCCTGAAACCACTTACCACTTGGTTCCTATGCCCCTGGGCTTCCCTGTCCCCCCACCTGCTCTCCATTCAGCTCATAATATTGTAGATGGAAGACGCATTAGAGATCTTCTAGCTCAACTCTCCCCTAAGCCTCAGAGAGGGAGACACTTGCCCAAGCTCGGCAGTAATAACTGTTCTTCCGAAATCCAGCCCACTGCTCTTTCCACTGGAACCCAACCATCTGACTCTGCCACTTACCTGTTGTGTTATTTTTGCTCCATACTTGCCCCGCCTGGCTTGACTTGCCAGGCTACCAGTTTCTCCCCCTCTTCACAGGGGACAGAGTTCCCAGATTCACCAGTCAAAGTAGAACTACTGCTCACAGCCCCTAGTGCTGTTTGAACTCCATAGCCCTGGATTGAGTATAGTGTATAAAATACAAAAGTTTTCCTGCATCAAAAGAGGTGAAAGAATTTTGGATGAAAATAACAGCAACCAAACAACTCCACCACCACAGAAGCAGAAGAGCAGGAAATCTAATTTGGGCTTCATTTCTTCCATTGATTTATTACTGATTAAAATTGGTTTTATTTAGCACATCCTTGCTATAGAACATATGTTCATGAAAACCCAGACTGATGTTAAAGGAATTCACTTTATTTGAGAAAATCAAAAGTAACTAGAACTTGTCATTGTCAAAAGTTGAAGAGACTTGGAAAGCAGATCCTAGCAAGGTAAGGAGAAACCAGACCCACTAAAGGCCCTAGCTCAACCATTAGTCATATTTATCAGACGAAAACACCAACGTCTCAGAAAGCAGAATTCAGCCATGCAGCTCTATAATGTAATCCATCTTCACTCCATCATTCTCCTAAGACCAGGAGCTCCTTGAAGACAGAGACTGTGCCATATGCCCCTCTGAACATGATCTGTAACAAGTGCTCACTACATGCTTGCTGGAAGAATCAACAACATCACACCCTTGCATGTTTACATGCAAATAAGCATGTACATGTATATACATGGAATCCCAATGAAGGCAATCTTGGGAGCCTCATTTCTAAACCTTTCTTCCCCCAAATTATTGTTTTAACTAGGGTAATACTTTTTAAAATATAATGTACTTTCCTCTTTTGCATGTCTTTATATATATTTAACCTCCTCCTTACTCTGCCAGAAGCATCTATTTGCCTCAAGGAAGTTTAGGATAGTTATAGCAGCAGGCAAAGAGAAAGCGTCAATGTTCAGCTGTTGACATCCAAAATAGGATTTTTTTAGTATGCAGCTTGAATTCTCAAGCTCCCACTAACATATTAAGATACAGCCTGGGTGGACTTGACCATTAAGGTTTTCTTTAAACCAGAGAGAGAAAGAGTACTGAAGATATGACATAGGGGAGATCCCTGCCATAAGGAAAGAGGGAAAGCCCTTTTCCTCAGGCATGTGGGGAACATGGGAAAAATTCAGTCTAGATCGGATACCAGGGTCTTGGGCTCCACTATATATACTCCCACCTCAAGGCTCAACCAGAGTTTAGGGAACAGCTTTAGAAATATCCTAATAGTTGTGATGGCACTCACTGAGAACCCTAAGGCTACTCCTGAGGTGTTGAAGGCCTCTAGAAAAATGCCTACCTTTTCACCAAGTGTGGTGTGGAGGGGAGAGGATGGTGGTGAACAGATGAAAACACAGCACTGGCCAAGGTGAGTGTCTAGTTAGGGAGCCAAGTGCAGAGGTTCTGTCTTCTCACACTTGGTGTTGAGCATGCTGGGATCCATACACTTCTTTGTTCCCTGCTGATAGTACTCAGTCAGTGACTGGGCAAAGGCCTGGAGTCAGGACTAAGAGGCTGCTATATGTAGGGTCTTTGACCCCATAGGCAAAAAGTAGGACATAAATTTTAGTGCTGGGTATTAGCACAATATTCCAAAAAACAAGAGAGGTCATCAGACCAGCCCTACCTCCATAAAGCAAAGACCAGTGGGATCTAGCTATTTTGCCTTGGCTCCAAGCACCCTTCTTCCTTTGCTCCCATCACTACCACCTAAGTTCATGTAAACACCTCTATGCACTCAGATCCCACTCTGAAGAGAAGTGGAGGAACATGAGAAAAATCTGAGCAACTGAGCAATTTACCTAAAAGAAACAGTCATCCAAAAGAGATTAATCCAGAAAAAAGAATAATATATTATAAACTAGCAAAATGGGGGTGGGGGCTTATGAGAAACACCGGCTCCACTTTAGAAAATTTGAAAAGCTACAGTTTCTTTGCACATCTGGGTAATAAGAAGTAAGTGTGCAACTGAACTACACTGTTACCCACCAGAAAGAAAATCTCAGCTATTCTGGCAGTTAGATGAGCTACTCTTCCTCTCTCATACACACGTCTCTTTTCCAAAAGCAAATGGAACATGTCATGAAAAGTTTCACTCCATTTCTAGTGCTGCCAATTTCCTACCAGACACGAAAAAATGTACAGTCCTCAAGTGCAGTACAGGCTGTCACTCCCATCTGAGTCGCCCAGCTCAGCTTTCAACCACACTCAAAACCAAAGGAGACCCCAGAGAAGCAGCTGACAAAATCCCTTTTCAGTTAGTCAGCATTTTGTTTTTCCAAAGCATTTTCTTTCTATCATCTCACTTTATCTCATACTATTCCTATGAGGTATGGCAGGGCAAGTATGTTTACCTCTTTCTTCGAATGAGGAAAGAGAGATCCCATCTGTAAAAACAGGCCTATTACCAGGTTTGGCCAAGGTACAGAGCTATTTAGTGGTGGGCTGAATTAGAAACCAAGGTCTCCCGAATGACATCCTTGGAGTCTCCTAGCCAAGAACAGGCTATGGCTTTTGCATACACAATCTAAAGTGCTGCCATAGCTAACTGTGGTATTGGAATTAACTTACATTCAAGTTCAAGAATAGATGCGGCTTTTTTGGCTAATTGAGACTGCAAATCTGGCTCCTAAGGCACACTGAAAAAGAGGTCAAGAATGGCCTCTACCATTTATTTAAATGTCACTAACAAAAGTGTCCTTAAACATTACACAAAAAGTTATCCTTCAGAGAACAGGGACTGGTTTTTCTTCCTCTCTCCTGAGGATAAAGGCAGAGAAAACAGCACAAACCTACAGTTGTCCTACAGTCACCTTTGAACAAGATCAAAAAAATGAATGGCCTTTCTTGCTACTCTTTGGACCAAATAATGTCCCAGAACAAACACCGGTCCACAGAAAATCTGGGTTATAAATGTCTATCATTAGGAGAATGGTTTAATAAAGTAACACATCCTCACAATAGAATGTAACACAACTGTTAAAACAAATGAGGTGGCCAGGCGCAGTAGCTCACACCTGTAATCCCAGCACTTTGGGAGGCTGAGGCAGGCAGATCATGAGGTCAGGAGATCGAGACCATCCTGGCTAACATGGTGAAACCTCGTCTCTACTAAAAATACAAAAAAAAAAAAAAAAAAAAAAAAATTAGCTGGGCGTGGTGGCAGGCGCCTGTAGACCCAGTTACTCTGGAGGCTGAGACAGGAGAACGGCGTGGACCCAGGAGGTGGAGCTTGCAGTGAGCCGAGAGCGCGCCACTGCACTCAAGTCTGGGGAACAGAGTGAGACTCTGTCTCAAAAAGACAAAAAGAACAAAAAAAATGAGGTAAAACTATAGCTGTTGACATAGAAAAATGTCCATGATTACAAAATGATAAAAACAAGTTGCAGAATAACAGGTATAGCATGATCCTCTTTTTGTTAAATGAAAAAAAGCTATTAATTTGTATAAAGATGTATATGCAACAGGTGCATGCGTGTATCTGTTGAATTTATCTAAACATAAGGGAGGAAGAGGGAGAAAGAGTATTCACTCTGACCATATATCTTGTACTTTTGTTCTGTGTAAATATTTTTTAAAACAGTGTCAATACCTTTACCCCTCCAAACAATGAATGGATCCTCTGTCTTCCTGTATTTCCCCCATATAAAGGTCAATTGGCTTATAAACATCTTCCTTTGTTCAATAGACATATGTATAGGAATGTATCATACCTTTAAGTTAGTTGGAAAAAATGACCTCATTTTGGAAAAATTCTACCCCCTTCATTTGTTTTTCATCTTCATTCAAAAATTGAAAAACAAACCATGGATCAAGGGAGAAAATTCACATAGGAAAAAGGACTAGAAGGAAATACCTCGTATCAGCAAACGGGTTCTCTCTGGGTGATAGAAGAATTACAGTGGCTTTTCTATCCTTTATACTTCATCACATTTTTCAAATGGCCTGCAGTTAGCCAGCATTAAAATAATGTTTTATATTTTTAAAAACTTCAATATAAAAAGTATTCTATGAAGGTATACCTAAAATTGAGTATCTCTAAATAAAACCTTATTTTACCACTTACTTAAATTATCTCTTAGCTTATAGACAATAAATACATATTAAATGAGTCAATGAATGACTAAAACTCCCTTTCTGATTTTTCTCCAATTAGCCATTATTTTCCTAATTCAACAAGACTATGAATTTTTCAGGGACAAAGATCATGTGATAGCCATTTTCATTAGCCCTCTTAGTATCTGGCATAACACTAGGCACATGGCAGACACTCACTAAATATTAATTAGCTGGTCCATTTGCATGCTTGAACTTTCCTACTTGGGTCTTTCTAAAAGAAGAGTGAATATTTTTCCGGTGCCTGTGAAATATGTGAATATTTATAAGCAAGTGATAAAAAGAATCCCCTCTAATTAATCCACACAACAGCTGTATTTCACAATGTTGACTTCATAGGTCTTTTGTTTAAAGCAGAATTGCCTGTCCACAAAACAAAACAAAACAAAAAGAACCAAAGAAGAAGACATATTTCCTTAGCACAGTGTTTCATTATAAAACTCCCAAATAGCCTAGACACCAATAAGTAGTTTTTTTGAAAAAAAAAATTGGGCCAACAAATATTAATGGAGTAAGTAGTATTTGCAAGGCACTAACCTGGGCATTGACAAGAATACAGAAAACTCCAGAGCAAAGGGTGTGTACAACCTACTTGGAGAAATCAGACATAAACATTTTCCAAAGTAGGGCCTTCAAAAGGCCTTAACGCCATCAATGTTCCATAAGGTTTGGGGAAGAGAATAGTATTCAAACAAGTGAAGTGCACACCTCATCCTCACCCCAGACATCTCGTCCAAATCACCAGCCAAAAACACTATTTCTTTCCCCGCTCCAGAGACTCCAGGGCTGAGCAAGAGTCAGAACCAGGCATACCCAGCCCATTCTGAAATCAACTGAACAGATCATTCTTTTATGCAATTCCCACTCATTCTCCAGAAAATGGATCCAATCCATCTCTTGTCTTCCCAGGCTCGCAGCATCTCCCAGTGCTTGCAGATGACCTTGGCTCCCATTCACTAAGATGACTGAGGTTAGCTTAATAGGAGCTCTAGCATCTGACCTGAAAAACACCTGGTCTTTCCACATAGCCACAGAAGAAAAGGTGACCACCCATTCCAGAGATAACCTCTTTGCCCACAAATCTCATTCTTTTCTAATTTTGGGGGAAGCTGGTACCCACCGTGGTACCCTCTGCTAACGCATATACCACCTTCTAACACTTTGAGTCTCTATCATTGTCTCTTCCTATGACTTTTTCAAACATTCAAAGCTTTTTCTTGATCTGAAAGAAAAAAATAACTTCACTGGACCTGATAACCTTTTAAAATTTTTGAATGAAGAATAATATACATGCATAAAACTGCACATATAAGTTTACAGATCATTAAGATTTCACAAAAGATCCCAGCACTTTGGGAGGCTGAGACAGGTGGATCATGAGGTCAGGAGATAGAGACCATCCTGGCTAACACGGTGAAACCCCGTCTCTACTAAAAAATACAAAAAACCAGCCAGCCGAGGTGGTGGGCGCTTGTAGTCCCAGCTACTCGGGAGGCTGAGGCAGGAGAATGGTGTAAACCCGGGAGGCGGAGTTTGCAGTGAGCTGAGATCCGGCCACTGCACTCCAGCCTGGGCGACAGAGCAAGACTCTGTCTCAAAAAAAAAAAAAAAAAAAAAAAAAAAAAAAAAAAGATTTCACAAAAGAAACACACCTGTGGTCTAGAAGCAGCACAATATCAGTAACCCCAAAATGTCCTCTTGATTACCATCTTATTTGTCTCCTTACTTTTATTACCAAGTTTCTTGAATACTGGTCTATGCTCATTATTCTTGTTTGTACTACCTTTTCATCCATTTCAGCCCAAGCACTCCCTCTTCAATGAATCTTCCCCACACCCATCTGGGTCAAGTTGTTGATCCTTCCTCTATACATTAGTGTGCATTTGTCTTTACTGCACTTATCATACTACACTGCAATCATCTGTTTATGTATCAGGCACCCCTGCCCGACAGTTAGGCTGTTAACCTCCTTTTGGGAAAGACTATTTATAACTTGTCTGTGTACCCCCAGTGCCTGGCACTTAGTAGGTGCACAGCTGGTGTTTGACACTTCAATAAATGAGTATAAAAATAAATGAAGAGATCTGCTCACTGAAATCCAGTACTCTGCTAAAATTGATTAGTTCTTTCTCCAATTCCCATCAAAAGGAATGATACTTAGCTGTCAAAACTCAGTGGTTGGGATCATGAAGAATGACTAGAAAATTGTACTGTTACAATCTTTGGTTAAGCGTCTCTTTACATCCAAGTATCTGAGCATGTTATGTGCCAAAGCACTGGTGTACACAGAAGAGGCTTAAAATCTTGCACTATCCCTCTGACTTAAAGCTGTGACAGTACTCCCTACGGTGTTCTGTCCTTCCACTGCCACACCCTGACATGGAGTCCTGCCAATCTTTTCCCCAACTGTTCCTGGAGCCACTCCTCCCTTTCCCCACCACTTCATTTCAGGACAGTAAGTAGTCAGAGACAGGAATCCCCCAGGAGCCCAGACCCCTCCTCCTAGCCCTCTTTTGTCACATCCAATTAACCATCTGCCAGTCTCCCAGGTCCCCTTCTAGGCCCACTGTCCAGCTGCCAACTCAATATTGTGCCCCCACCCCATAGATGCCCATTGTCCCTGGGCTGGGTAAGAGTATAAAAGATGGAGATTTTAGCCTCATCCCTAGTCCCTGCCTGTCAAGCCTTGGAATAATTGTAACTGCAAGTTTAAAAATCATAACACTATCTCCATACTGTTATCAAATGAAGGAAGAGAAGGAAGAAAATGAAGAAAATGATGAGAAGGAAGAGAAGGAAAGAAGGAGGGAATCAGTTTTCATGATTTTGAAAATAAAGGGATTCATCTAACTAGTAACATAATCATAATATGTTATACATGTAATATGTCATACTAGTAATATATAGTACCATATTACTAGTAATATAATCCTATTTACATTACTATTCACAATATGAATATAACTATCACAATGTATCTATTAACATGAGCAATTTCTTTTCTTCTTTTCTTTTTTTTGAGACAGAGTCTTGCTCTGTTGCCCAGCCTGGAATGCAGTGGCGTGATCTTGGCTCACTGCAACCTCCGCCTCCTGGGTTCAAGTGATTCTCCTACCTCAGCCTCCCAAGTAGCTGGGATTACAGGTGCCCACTGAAAGGCAAGAATTTTTTTACCCATTTTACAGATTTATAAACTAAAGCTTGGAATAATTATAACTTGCACAAAGTCACAAAGCAAGTAAGTTTCTGTTCCAAGATTCTGTGATTCTGGAACTGGTCTATACTTAAGGAAACTCCCACCTCTTTGTGTTCTAGGCAAGATAAGTCTGGTTCCCCACAATCCATCCTTTGGTGGCAGCAACACCCAGATTCCTACTCGCCAGCCCTCGGAAGGGTCTTTGATGAAATAGGGCTTTTCCTCTTGGGTCGGCCCCTGAAACAAGGGGTGGAATGAGTGTTTGGGGCCAAGAAAAAGAGTATGGCATATTCTCTTGTGTGAAGGATTTCACTTCATGGAGAAGAATGAGCAAGGGGCTCTTTCATGAGCCCTAACCTGCTTCCACTTTCTTCTAGGACTTCAAGAGACACTATGGAAACTGGAAATTCATGAGCAAATCCCATCACTGATACAGCACCTTGATGGCCAGACACTGACCCCTCCTAAGCAGGCTGCCCAGATACCATCTTGCCTGAGTTTCCCTCCCTCTCTTCTCTCCTCACTTACTTCTTCCCCACTTGCCTTTCTGACTCATACTCTGTAGGAGGCGATTCTGCAGACCCTACTACAGCCTAGAGCAGTCCCACCTAAGCTTGCAAAAGAAAGCCACCAGCACTTTTAAATGGATTGCTAACTTTAGATCTCCCAGCCTGGCTTCTTAGCTTCTTTGCCCAAGAGCCTTCTAGGCTCAGCCCACCCATTTCACAGCTGCCTCAGCTTGCACTACCCTCCCTAAGC